CCCCAAAACCCCAAAACCCCAAAACCCCAGGGAACTATTTTTATATTAGAATAGGGTTAAGCACAATTATATAATAGGTATTTAAATATTTAATGGATAAAGTTTTGTAGTTAAATTAGAATAAATAAGATCAAACTAGAGATTATCAAGAAATGAATTTCCCAGTAAAGAATTGAAGTAGGATGTTTATTGGCTAGAATGGGAATTAGTTTAAGAGTAAGAAATCATTTAAGGAAGCCTTTAATTAGTTTATGAAGCCCTGAAAGTAAGATATTTTAATAAACTACAACGATTACTTGAATGGCCATACATCAGCTTTCAACTTAAACGATTAAAGCATTATTAACAAGTGCTCTAAACAAATTGAATGTCCACGGCAATAAGAATGCTGAAGTAGTATGCTATTTAAGTCGTAAAATAATCGTTAGATCAAGAGTTAATTACTTAAAAACAATCATGAAAATTTTGTACCATTCATCTAGGAGAGGGACAATATTGGGAGAATGTTTAATAAAGTAAATTAACTTAAAGTGAATGTTGATAATGAAGAATAAAAGACAAGCTCTAACAAATCAATCAATTAAGAGGACACAGAAGTTCATGTTATTACAAGTTTTGCAAGTAAAAATGCTTTATAGAAGCTGTAGCAGGATAAATTCTATCATCCAAAGCTAAAGCAGCATATACTTAATAGGTAATCTAGATCATTCATGTCCATCAACTAAGTCGATTAAAAAACATAGTTTAAAAAGAAAAATACTAATAAAGATTATTAATTAGGAGAGTAAATGTCTTACTATAGAGAATTGAGAGAAAATTTACATCAATAAGAAAAAATGAAGGCTCAATTACATCACTCATTTAATTAGCCTCAATTAGAGCCAAGGCCTAAAAATGGAGACTTTGCTTCGCTTATAGAAGTAAGTATAGCTTAATGTGTAAATAAATATTTACTAGAGAGAAAGTCCTCCTCCTTGCTACTATGAATGGGATAAAAGTCTTGATAGGCTATAACAATCATAAAGTAACATGAAGCTTAAGTTTGATAAAGCTTCAAGAAATCTTCTAAATGATAGTTTAAACTAAAATGAAATAAGTCTACCCAGCATCAAAATGAATCAAGATAATAGCTATAACGATTTGAGCAGATTTAAAAAAGCAAAAGGTCTATTGGACTTTAGTAAAAGTCCTTTGAGGTAATTTTCATTTATATTAGAAGTTTTATTTAATAGAGATAATGTGAGCTTCATGAAAGATTTGAGTAAGCATCTGAATGACAGAAGAATAAAAAATGAATAAAGAATTATGGAGAGAGAGTAAAAAAAGATTCTGTAATTAAGTATAAATGAGAACTAGCCATTTATAAACTAAAACTCATTGGCTAATTCAAGTAAGAATTAAACCCCACTTCAACATAAGACCAAGGATATGAATAAACTAGTTACTAAATTGGATGATTCATTTTAAAACAGCAGGAATATTAAATCTCAAATGAAATCCTTTTTGGCGCATACTTACAATCTAACAGAAATTAATCTTAAAAAATAGCATTTGAAAAGGGTTTAATGATATTTATTGATATTTTTATGATTTCTGGACTTATTTATATTGCTTTTAAACCTAGTATATAAATGATGACGGGGTTTTGGGGTTTTGGGG